AGATATGAAAGGTGCTTCAAAATAAGGCACAACTAAACTAATGTTTGCTTATTTAACATTAATGTAAGTTTCCTTTTAATCTAACAAAAATTTCATGAAACAGCTGTGATTTACCCATTGTATTATAAATCAAAAACAAACTTTCACAATCAACTTCTATGCCCATTTATCAGTAAATTCCTGTCTTCCTACATTTACCTTTTTGTGTCTTTTACTTCTTTGGCTTTCCCAGAAAATCACATAGTGGTCATTTAAAACATAGTTTTAGAGGCTCAGCACAGTGACTCTCAGCATTGTGACTCACGCCTGTTGTCCCAGCTACTTGGGAGGCTGAGGCCAGGCCAGAGGATCACTGGAGCCCAGGAAGGTGAGGCTGCAGTGAGCTGTGATTACACCACTGCACTCCAGCCTGAGCAATAGAGCAAGGCTCTGTTTCCCTCCCCACCCCTCCCCGCACATATTTTTTAGTTCAATGATTATTAAATGAACAGTCAATCACCTCCTTCCGCTCACTGGAATTGCTATTCCAGACACTGAAGATAGGCACTTCTCTAGCCCGAATGGCAGAGGTTATGTAGATGATATTTATATTAATCAAGACGAAAGTATGACAATAACATTTCCCACTCAAGGACTTCTGATTGCCCTTCAAAGTCTCCCCAAGAGGGCCAAAATGCCTGAAAGTACTAGCTCTAAAACAAATTTTTAGCAATAAAAAACTGTAGCAGGATTTATAAACAAATAAAAAACGGTTTAAAGGATTTATTTTGGGAGAAGTGACATTATAATATGTCAAATCAGTAAACTTTTTTTTTTGAGTCACAGTCTCACTCTGTTGCCCAGGCTGGAGTGCAGTGGCATGCCCATAGCCACTGCAACCTCGACCTGTTGGGCTCAGGCAATCCTTCCGCCTCAGCCTTCCAAGTAGCTGGAACTACAGGCACGCGCCACTATGCCCAGTTATTATTATGTTTTTTTAATTTATTGTAGAGATGAGGTCTCTCCTAGTTGCCCAGGCTGGTCTCGAACCCCTGAGCTCAGGGCAATCCTCTCACCTCAGCCTCCCAAAGTGCCAGGATTATATGTGTGAGCCACCACACCCAGCCAAATCAGTGAACTGTTAAAGTCCTACCAGGTTCAGGCACTTGACTGAATTTCACTTGGCAGCAGGCAGATGCTTGGATGGAACACTGTAAATGTCAGACTCTTTTGTAATTCACTTATCCCCTGTGCCTCTAAATTTTGCAACATTATCTAGACTATACATTTTTTTCCCATTGGAATACAAAGGGGAGAAATTTTATTCTTAGGTTTGCAAGAAACCTGGAAAGAATCCACTTATAACATGTTTTAACATGAGAAAGTGTAGCTAGCCCAGGAGGAAGATCCTCACAACTAAGCTTTGGTCTCAGTAGAGTCAGTAACTAGCAGGGCAACCTGAAGAGGCCATTTAACCTCAAGTTCTTTTTCTGTAGTGTATTTTACCCTCCCCTCTGACAGCCCAAGGTTCTATTAAAGGTAGCACGAATGGATGTCTGGAAAGCACACTAAACATCACGCAGACCTAAGATCCTTTCTTGATAGTTCCATCAGTGGTTGAAATGCCTCTTCCTAAATTCACCAACCACTTCCTAATTCTCAAGTCTGATGCACAACTTTCAGTTCTTAATTTCCTTGAACTTTTGGTGACAAGTGATGTCATAGACTTCTTTTGACATCTTTTCCCCCTCATTTTCCTGTTTACCATTTCCTGGTTTACTTTGTATTTTGTTGACTACTCCTTTTGTGTTTTTGCTTTTCTCTTTTCATCTCTTAACATTCCCCATTGAGTCCATAACATTTCACACTGAGTGTTAGCTCATCTCTTTCCATAGCTCTAACCAGAATTCTATCCTGAACTCTAGCTCATATTTTCAACTGCCTGTAGAACACTGTATATCTCAAACTAGATGTTCAGTGAATCCCTTACCCAGAATCCTGAATGTGACACATTCAAAGCTAAATTTGTTGACACTTTGTTCCCTTCATCTTTACCACCTCCATCTTCAAACTGCTTATGTTAGCAATTATAGATCTCAGAGAGCTATATCCTGTTCAGCTCAGTTTCATGTTATATGAGTAGGAATCATCTCTCTCTCTTTTTTTGAGAGAATCTCACTTTGTCACCCAGACTAGAGTGCAGTGGCACGCTCCTGGCCACCGCAATATCGACCTGTTGGGCTCAGGCAATCCTTCCACCTCAGTCTCCAAGTAGCCAGAAGTACTGGCACGCGCTACCATGCCCAGCTAATTTTCTGATTTATGTAGAGATGAGGTCTCACCATGTTGCCCAGGCTGGTCTCAAACCTGCGGGCTCAGGCAGTCCTCTCACCTCGGCCTCCCAAAGTGCGCAATTATAGGCTTGAGCCACCGTGCCCGGTTGGAATCATCTCTCTTATTCTCCATATCTAGTTGATTTCCAAGTCTTAAATATTTCTGAAGCCAAGCTCCACCTCTTCATCTCCAGTATATTTGCCCTAGTGCAGTCCTTCAACAACTTTGATATTGGATAGTTTTTTGTTTTTGTTTTTTTTTTTGAGTTGGAGTCTTACTCTGTCGCCCCAGACTGGAGTGCAG